ACAACTTTCATGTGTTGGTCATTTTCCAATTCCTTATAGATTTCTAGATATAATCTATCAAAGTCAGCCCATGTGTGACACAACTTTCTTCTTCATCTTCCCGGACACCCTGTAGTATAACAGCCATATCTCTTTGTACACAAATCCAAATCATGAATGGTTTACTTTTCTAGAAACTAGACACAAAGGGATACAACTGTCATATTTACATCATCTCAATATTCCTTATAGATTGTGAGATATGAGCCCTCCGAAGTCGAGTCAGTGAAGTAGAATATTTATTCTACGCGATCGCGAAAGGCTTTCCGCGATCGCGATTCACTAGCCCGTTTCTCACATTTTACTCACCGCGATCGCGACCAATTCCCCGCGATCGCATAGAACACTGCTGTAGCCAAAAACCTGCAGTTATAAATGGCCTAGAAATGGTCCTGAAACCACCCCGAAACTCACCCGAGCCCCTCAGGACCACGTCCGAACGTGCCAACAAGTCTGGAAACATATCACGGACTTAGTCGAGGTTTCAAATCACATCAAACAACGTCGAAATCACGAATCGCGCCAAAATTCATCTTTATGAACTTTGAAATTTCTAACTTTCTCATCCGATGCCGAAACCTATCAAATCTCATTCGATTGACCCCAAATTTTGCAGGCAAGTCATATTCGACATTACGGACCTGCTCCAACTTCCGGAATCGCATTCCGACCCCGATATCAAAAAGTCCACTTCCGGTCAAACTTCTCAAAAACCTTCAATTTTCTATCTTTAGCCAAATAGCTCCAAAATGATCTACGGACCTCCGAATTCACTTTCGATTGCGCTCCCAACTCCAGAATCACTATGCGGAGCTACTCCCAGTCTCCGAATCTCAAACGGACATCGGTAACACTGAAATTCACTTCAAGCCAAACTTATGAAATTTCTTCCAAAATGCCAACTTCCACAATAGGCGCCAAAACGCTCCCGGGTCATCCAAAACACGATCCGGGCATAAGCCCAAATTCGAAATCATCATACGAACCTGCTGGAACCTTCAGATCCCGATTCCGAGGTCGTTTACTCAAAATTCTAATCCTAGTTGATTTCTTCAACTTCAAGCTTCCGAAATGAGAATTCTCTTTCCAAATCAACTCTGAGTTCCCGAAATTCAATTCCAACCACGCGTACAAGTCATAATACCTGAAATGAAGCTGTTCATGGCCCCAGACTGCTGAGCGACGCGCTAGAGCTCAAAACGACCGGTCGGGTCATTACAGTATAGTTGACCCAATTAGTTTGAGTTATAATACTAGAATGAGTTGGAAAATTGCGGCACGACCTAATATGTAAATGGATATGCTTGGAAAATATGTTGGTCTTCTTTATATCATAGTTGATGCTCTTCAAGAAAGCTCGATGCAAAGATCAATAATTTCTTAAAATAGAGTGTATTTTGTAATGCTTAAGTTGTTACATTTACTACTGAAGAAAGATTATGGGAATCACATTTTCCTCAAGCTCGGCGGGACTTGGGCAAATATTGCAACTAAGTTATTAAAGAGTAGCTTATAGTTTGATTACTAATTGGTGATTTTATGAAATAGCATATCATAATTCTCAATTTGTTTTCATGGAACTCTCTCAGAGAAAATGTATAAACTTTTGTTTTCTTTTTTATGATTGATATAGAAGTGTACATTATCTGAGTCGTAATAACTTGAATTCGAAAGTTTTTTGATCACTCAATGTTGGGGTTTTGATACTGGAAGTTTAGCGAATAACCGTTATTTCTTAACTAGTTAGGTTAAACAAGAAATAAAGAAGTTCTGATCCAATTGCTGGTCCAAACAGGTATGCTATTAGGTCAATTGTTTATTTAAAAATGTTATAGGAATAAGTTTTGGAATGAAAAGGGAGGAATATCCTAGTGGTAAGGACCCTTTAGCTCCGATCATAAATTTGGGGGCTGGTTCACCAGGGGAGCAATGTGGGAAAGGGCCACTTGTAGGGCGGTTTTGGAGGGGGTGGGTCTGGGTTTACCATATCAGGGGAAAAAAAAGTCGTCGAATAGTTTTTGAACGTGTAGGCAAGTTATGTAAAGGTATTGGAAACTATGGTGAAGTGGTGGAAAGTTGCAAACTTGCTGAATGTTGGAGAAATTAAAAACTGCAAGGGCTTTCCTTGGCTTAATGTTTGTTCTTGTGCAGCTGATTTAAGTATAGTGGAACAGTATGGATAGTCGACACTTTGTAATATGACTTTTATTTTTTTCTGTACTTTGTCGGAACACAATGATATTTTTCTTTATTTTCTTTGATGTAATTTGTAGCGCGCAACCAAAGAGAACAACGAGGAACCATCAAAGTCTGAAATGTTTATTACAACTCGTACAAAGAAAGGAAAGGAAGTTCATACGGATACTCAAGTTGCAATAGTAAGTCATGCTGCAACTCAAGTCTTGTTATTGTGTTTTTTCTCTTTAACTGAAGGAAGTTCATACGCATATCTGGAGTTTCTTTTGGAAAATATTGATCTTTTGCTTATTGTTCATGAATAGAGCAGTGTAAAATTTGTTTATAAATAAATCCTTCCTCTTCTCCTCGCTTACCTCATCATGGCCAAAGTGTATCCCAACCTCTCATTTTTCTGTCCTGTCCCCTTTGTTTAAACAACATTGCTTGCATAAAAGTTTGGTTGATCGTACCAGCTTAATAATAAATCAGGATAAGCTGACTTGTATGTGTTCATATATAACAATATAACTATACGATGGAGTATATGGAAAATTAGAAAAAAATAAAGTAATAACTTGTTGCAGCGCTAAATTGCAATGATAGTGTAAGACTTTTAACACTATCAGACTATAACACTCAAATCTTTACAAGAAACTGACTTGTAAGAGATATGGTCTCCATCCAAGAATTTAGTATTCGAAATCTGTAGGATATTCTGTATCTACATAAAGAATGGATATATATTGCCTGAAGTCTGATCTAGACTAATAAAAGCTTTATGGGTGAAGTTATGAAATATTTACGAAGGAGTTATCTACAGTACAGTTGCTTCCTTAAGTAGAGTTGGATTTGCGTTTTTTGTGTGAAATAAGCTTGGCTGCTAATTCCACCATATTTTTCTTACTTGTCATTTTTTGGCTGGAACACGCATATCTGGAGTATTTTTTGGAAAATATTGATCTTTTGTTTATTGTTCATGAATAGAGCATTGTAAATTTCGAAAGCTTCATCTTTATTGTAAAGCTTGCTTGTTTGTGATTATAAAATAATTTTTAGAGCCTATAAAGGAAGTTTTTGCAAATAGTGGTGAATTCAGTTGTGGTTGTCGCAAGGAAATAAATTTATCCACCGGTTTGTAGAGGAAAACATGATGATGTGTAGTAGTTTGGCAACAAAATAAGGTGGGTACTTGGGGAAAAATTAGTTCTGTTTGTTTGAAACTTCATATTAAAATGGTTACGATCCTTGTCGTTGAAAAATCTATTGACATTCTGCTAAATTTTGAGGTCTGTTAAACTTTTTTTTAATCTAACTTGACTTGTTGAAACTTATTTTAGTATTCGATCTATCTTGACTTGTAACTGATGTGCAATATATTATTTTTGACAGTCTGTACTTCAGAATCGTCAAAGTTTCGGAGAAACAACAGATGCATTTAGGGCTATATTTGGAAAGTAGCAGCCTGGTCGGGTTAGATGCTATGGTAGATCGGTGACGACAAGCTCTCTGAAAAAAAAGATGAGGAAATCACCCAGCTTAAACAAAAGCATGCCAATAAAATAACTTCTCTTGAAAAGGTAAATGTATTGAAAAGGTATTTATATTTCACAATTCCAAAAACTACCTTAATCTTAACTTATTGAGTTGTCCTTAAAACTTAAAAGCTATTATTGAGTTGTCCTTAAGTGAATTGTTCTTGAACAATTGGTTGATTGGACATGATGGAAAATGGCATGAACAGGAATTGGTATAAATGCATGTAATTGTATGAAAGAGGGAAATAGTTACTTCTCCAGGAATATACTGAAATGCATAATGATCTAACCATTCAGAAACATAATATTAGTGGTTGTATTCTCTGTCCCTCCTGTTACAAATTCTAGACTTAGAGAAGCATGTCATATTGGAGCTATTTTTAGTATAAGATGGATAAGTTCTTTTTCTAGCCCAACACCCTTCATCCAGCCACCCAATGTTGGGGGTATGGTTAAGAATCTTGAGAAGAATATATTAAGTATTAATATTAGTATATAACAATTAAAGTATACTTTCTAATAGAAGATGTGTAGGTGTAAGTTTGAGGCTCTCTATCTATTTTGCCGGAAGGAGAAAGATTCAAAACCATTGGATTCACTGAATTTGGATGGTATTCCAAGTGTCTCTTAAAGTCGTAAGGCAAAACAGATTGATCAAAGTTTGAACTATTATTGGCAGGTACCACAGTAATTAAACCTTGACTCTTCAAAAGTCCCTCATCATTGATCCCAATTCAGAAGTGGAAATATTGAAACCTACTATTGTGAATACTTAATTTTTGCTCGCTTCTAGTTCTCCTACAAATATTAATATTTGGATGATTTGTAGTTATTTGTGCATTTTATTTTCCTTCCTTTATTAAATACCAAAAAATATTTTTTACCTTTTATTTGTATATTTTAGTTTGTATCTTTAAATTATATATCCCAAAAAGATTTTCTTTCTACTTGTATAATTTTTCTAGGACTAAATAAGATGATTAGGGGGTTAAGGGATTGGGCTAGTGTATTTTAATTGAAATTGAGCAAAATTGGCCCAAAACTAGGAGCCCAAAGAGCCCAGATCCGGTCCCAAATGGGGCTGCCATAGGAGGGTCAAAACGACGTAGTTTTATATCAAAACTACGTCGTTTTTGTTAAGTGACAGAGATTTAATCTTATCCATACATAGTCCGTTGATCCAACGGTCCAAAATTAATCTTCATTATTAGTATTTAAAACCTAAAGAAGCCAAAATTTTGCCCTCATTTTTGCCCTATTATCTATTTCATCACTCCTCTCTTTACTCTCTCGTCTCTCAATGAACCACCCACCGCCCGCCGCCCCTACTCCGCCGGAAATCGCCCACCGGCGGGGGACGACCTCCAATCAACCCCATTTTTTCTCCATCTCCTTCTATCCTCCTCCTCTTTCCATATCTCTAACCCAAATCCTCAAACTCGCTCTCAAACTCCACCAAATCCGGCCAAATCCGAAACCCTAGCCTCCAAAATTTTCTTTCTTTCTTTCTCAATTTCGTGATGAATCAGCGACTCCCCCCACATAGCCTCACATGAACATGTATATCTCTAAGATATCCACACTTCCCCTTTAATTTTACCCCCAAAATCCGTCCCCCACCACTGCCGACCACCCCGCTGCCGCGACCACCCAAGACCACCAGTGCTTCTCCACTCTAGCTTCATCTCGACTTAAAAGCACTCGTTCCCTTCTAGCATGACGCCAAAACTTGTTTGTTTTGGCGCCTGCTAAAAGGAAACGTGCGCTTCAATATCGGACAGTCACGGCTCGTTGTCCTCGGCATCTCCTCGTTCGATTTGGCATCGACTTCCCTTGTTTGGTATAACCCTATTCCTTTTTCTTTGGTTCGTTATTAAGACTAGGATCATATTTTAGTTTCCGTCTTGTTTAATCTCACATTAATTAGGTAGTATTCAATTTCAATTAGTTTCAGTTTTGCCTCAATGTCGTTTACATCATTTATAGGTAGTTTTAAGTGTTGGTTTCGACTCATGTATATTATTTTGAATTATGCATTAGGTTCAAAGTATAAGTCTTTTGGTTAATATGTGCTCGTTTAGTCTTGTTTGTTATCTATTTTGATTGGCATGTACTGAGAAGCATGATCAGTTCTGTTAGTTTACCTTGTTCTTACCTTTTCATGTTTAACTAGATAATATTTGCTAGATTTAAATCGTGTTTGCTTGGGACTAGCAGTTGGTAGTTTGGTTGTTTCATGACCATCGTTTGACAGTCAGAATGATTAGCTCCTAGTTTTGTTTGTTAGTTCTTCTGTTAACTGATTGATATAGGTTATGAAGTTCAGTTAACTTGTTTATTTGTGTTAATTGATCATCGTTCAAAGGCATCAGTGATCTTGATTCATTCTGAAGTATGGTTAATTTGTTTAGTTGAGTCATTGATCTTTTCAAGACATGAGTTCGTTTGTTCTAATGAAGTGATAATCTATATGTTGAATGCTTGATGATAGTATGTGTTGAAATACTTGGTATATTATCACTTCAACAGTTATGAGTGTATTTTAGTAAGATTTGAGTAATATGAGTCATGTGTTTGGTTTAAACATAGAATCTGGTTTGAGAAATTAAGAGGAAAGGGAAAGAAAAGAGAATACTTGAGTGTAGGGTCCTTTGTTTGGTTGCTTTTACTATTACGGACTGTTTTGGAGTATAATACTCCAAAATTCTGTCCACAATTGGTAAGAAAAACTGTTCATTGACCAAAATTCTGGTTTTGGACAGATTTTTGGTCAAAAATCCATCATTTTGGATAGATTTTGGGCAAAATAAAATCTGTTCCAAAGTCGTTTCTCCTCCTATATAAAGAGGAGTTCTTTCCTCATCTAAAAAGGATCTTGGACTCTAAGAAAGACATCTTTTACACACATTGTTCAAAACATCATTTTTTTACACACCTTGAGAGTTGCTGGAACACACATCTTTGAACAAAAAAATCAGCAGCTAGAATACTTTAGTAAGCTAAAGTTTGTGAGCTTTAGAGTGACTCCTAGAGTGCAAAAATCATTAAGCAAAAATAGAGCAATCGTTTGGCTAAGTTCTGAGTTTGTTAGCTACTAGTTTTAAGTGTCTTCGCGGGATTTTCTGGGTTGTTTCTAACACTGATCTGCTGCTGGTTGTTGCTGTTTTTTCTACTATTTCTGCCGTTGTTTCTGCCCACCTCACTACTGTTTATTCTTTTGCTATCCAGGTAATCCTTTAAGACTCGTAATGTATATCTTTTCAGCAACGGGAACAACTTGAACCTGCCGCACCATTTAATGTGTTTGATATGATGATAGTTTGACAACAAAAGAGCTTGGATATTATTGTTATATATCAAGCATGTAATAACGTGAATATAGTCCTTTATAATACTTGAATATCGAGTTGTAAGTTTTTTAATGTGATATGTAAGTCGTTTCTAGATTTTTAAGCATGTTTACAAGCTATTGTATCCGAGTAACAATGCTAAGTATGCCATGAATGACTTTAGGTGTATAACACATAGCATGATTTCGTTTTAGTTATTGAAATTTCACTGCCAATATATTTCTAGGAATGCTGTAATAATATCTTTGTGAATCTGGCCATTTTGCCGGATTTAAGTGGCTAATTTGGTAAAGTGGGCGTTTATACAATTGCGACTATTTAGTTAGTGGTCATGAATGCAAACTAAGTAAAGAGTTAAGATTGTATCAGCTTTGGGCTTTATTGAATCAAATAAAAGCTGACCCATTTCCCTTTAAACAACAAAATAACCCCTTTTCTTCTATATAGCATTGGGCTAAATGAAATTCATTTCTTGGCCCATTTAAAATAACAATTCAGCTAGCCCATATTTTTAGTAATGCCAGATGGGCCAATAATATTTTAGTCCACTAGCTTCCCATTCTCTAATGAATCATTAAACTAACTCAGTGCCTTGCAATAGTGAAATCTAAGGCTACCCCTATATATATATATATATATATATATATATATATATATATATATATATATATATATATATATATATATATATATATATAATTTCTTTTACGAGATAACTTAGTCTTTTTTATATAATTAATTTAAATGGTAGGCAATTAATCGACATTTTTTAACTTCACGGAATCGCTTGCGTAGCGTGATGTTTAACATTTAATAAATTAATTCAACAATCTCATGCCATATTCATTAGTTTTAGTTAATTTTTAATTTAATCAATCCTTGGCTAAAATTGCGGATTCGCTTGCGTGGAGCGATAGCTAACCTTCCTTTTAATAGTCTTCAAGAATTAATTTTCTCAAATGTAGTAATTTCTAAAAAAGTACTACAAATAATTGATTGTTATGATTTCGTATTCGCTTGCGAGGCGCAATTATGATAAGTTAATTAATTTTGTTATTCGATCACGCATTCGCTTGCGTAGCGTGGCTATGACAACGTAATATTATCCAAATTATTTTTTTTAATAATTCAATAATCAAGAAATAAAAACGGATAGGTAAAACATAAAAATCCAATAAAGCATAGTTTATTCAAATTTAATTTAAGCCAAGTTTTAAGTCAATAAAGCGATCGTGCTAGAACCACGGGACCCCGGGAATGCCTTACACCTTCTCCCTGGTCAACAGAATTCCTTATCCAGACTTTGTTTTCGCGGACCGATATAAAAGAGTCAAATCTTCCTTTGAATAGGGATTCAAATAAAAGGTGACTTGGAACACCCAAAAATCAATTCCAAGTGGCGACTCTGAACAATAAAATAATCCCTATTTCAAAATTGTCACTTTAATTGGAAAAACTCTTTAACCCACAATAATCCATAACATACACATATCCTTCGGGGGTAGAAAAGGGGTGTGACAACTATCACATATTCTCCGGTCTCCACTAAGAACACTATAAAAATGTGTTTTGATAGAATCTCTCATCTAAAAAAAATCTTTCATGTTTAACTTTTGATGGTCCTCATTATTTAGTTCTCCACATTTTTCTCTTTAAATCGTGTATTTCACTCTATTTTGTTTGACAACAATTTCGTCTTTTACTATGTATGGAACTTGTGTTAATTGGAGTAATAGTTAAGTCTTAGTGAGGAATCACTTACAAATAAATATTTTTCGTAAATACACTTTTATTGATGAATTATAGTATTTTACTTGTTTATAACTTATTTACTCGTTGGAGTGTAATCAACTGCTACATTTAAGCATATTACAGTCCATAATGTTTCTTGAGAAAGTAGTTCCTACGATATCTGCCTCATATTGCTTCATAACACTGAAGAACTACTAAGATTTTATATATATATATATATATATATATATATATATNATTGTTTCTTTCTAATTTTTCATTTTATTGCGAATGCGTAGGAAAATGCGGGTGATGCAATTGGAAATGGTGGCCACAAATCAATTTGATCTATTAAAGTGAATGGTGAAGACCTTTTGAACAATTGTGATATTTATTTTTATTGATAATATAAATATGAATACATTTGGTTTTATAGAGCTCTTCTTCTTGAACCAACAATGCTTTATTACTATGGATAGTACACAAAATATGTTTCTTTGTTGAAGTTTATTTCAAGTATATGCATTTGAATTATTTTTATTTTGTTACTTATTATCTTATTTAATGCTTGAGATCATAATGTATATACTTGGAATAAATGTGAACAGAATTTAATGTAAACAAATATAATTTTTTAACCACAAAATTGTGGCTAATATAAATATTTAAAAATTACTTCATAGTGTAGACTAAATTGCCACGCTTAGAAAGTGTGGCCATAGAGATTGTCAATTAGGCATTGTTAATGATAAATGTTGCTTTAGAAGCCACACTTGAAAAGCGTAGTCTATAAGCTGACAAAGGTCACGCTTCAAATGTGTAGCCTTTTGTCATAAAAGCGTGGCTACATAAGAAAATATAAGCGTGGCCTTTATACCGTATCGGCCACACTTTTAAAGCGTGACTTCTAAGGCAACACCTAGAAAAGCGTTGCCAATAGTCAAAGGTTACGGTACTTTACACCATCCCCAAAAAGCGTTGCCTAAAGCCGTTAAGTGTTGCCTTTGACCAAATGCAACACTTCTTGGCATCATAGGCCACACTTCTCAGGGGTGGCTAGAGGCCTAAAATGTTGTAGTGATTTAATAAAAACACATATATTGCCTCTATATAAACAGTTTCGTTGTATTCACACCATTCCAATACAAAACATTTGTATGCGGATTTTTTAGAGGTAATTTTCGTCTCTTTTATTATCATATTTTATAGATTATAGGGGGTTTGACAGAGTTACCCACAAAAACAAAACTATTTACCCTTGTCTACCCATTTATTTTTCAACCCATAAACTAATTATATTTCCCACCCATGGTAGGTTTTGTGGGGAATTTTTTCCTTATTCTCCAATTATTTTTTATTTCTATACTTCTTTTCTTTTCTTTTTCTTTCTTTTTCTTTTCTCCTTTTCTTTTTTCTCGTTTTCTACTTATTTTTTTTCTTTTTTCCTATTCTAATTTCATTGAACTTTTTTTTATATTCTTTTTCTCTTCATAATCTAATTTCATTTACTATTTTCACTATTTTTTGTTATTCTTTTTTTTATATTATTACTAAAGAAAAATGAAATTGGGTACCAATTAAATGTAGCTAATACAACCAAAAAAATATTAACTAATATATGATACCAGTATAGTATATAGTTATACCAACATGGTATACAATTGTACGCGAAGAGTTAAAAAAAGTTTAATTCAATTATTAAATTAAAATAATATCAGTTGTCAATAAAAATTTCAAAAAATTCTAAAAGGATCTAATTGTAAGAGTATACCGTTACATTATATAGCATACTATAACTTTTTTTTTTTTTTTTTTCAATTTACCTCTCACGCNAAGGCAAGTGAATTTACGGGTAATAAGTATACTTTTATAGTATATTGTATACTATTACAGCATACTGTTACAGTATATTGCATATTATTACAGTGTACTATAACAATATATTGTATACTATAATAGTATAATATTGCAGTATAACTATATACTCGTATAGTATACTGTTGCAGTATAGCTATATACTCCTACAACATATTGTATACCGTAGCAGTATACTATTGGGTAGCTGTGTTCTTCGATTTTTAGTTGAAAATTTCGATCTCAATCACCTCAAATCAGCTCCAAATGCCATCAAATTTCAGTATGAACTTCCAGAAGGTATTATAAGCAATATTTAATAGCACCCACTTTGACTCAAACAAGAAATCTTCAAAAATAAAAATTTTAAATTCAAGAGCTTCAAGCTCGACATTAGTGGACATTCAAATACACATATACATTCAGCTTTCTCAAAGGTACTATAAGCAATATACTCCCACTTTAAATCTAATATTAAAAATCTTCAAGTCGAAAAATCATATATTTGGAATTTTGGAAAAAGACTTTAAGAAAATCTGTAAAATTTTAATTTCAGCAAAAAATACGAGGTGCAAAATCCGAGCAAGCATGAGATTTTGACAGAAAAGTTGTAACGACCCGACCGGTCGTTTTTAGAATTCACGCCCCGATCCCCTATTAACTGCTTCCCCTAAGTTCATTTTCTGCTATTTTGGTTTGCCGGGACATTCGGTGTTAGGATTCGGAGTGTTTTGGGACACTTAGTCCCTAAATGAGAGCTTAAGAGTTGAAAAATGGTCCGTAATCAGAACAGTGTGAAGACAGCCTCGGAATGGAAATCCGAAGGTTCCGTTAGCTCCGTTAGGTGATTTCGGGGTTGGGAGCGTATTCGGAATGTATTTTGGAAGTCCGTAGCTCATTTAGGCTTGAAATGCCGAAGTTTGTATTTTTGAAGTCTCCGGTCCGACAGTGAGTTTTTGATCTGAGGGTCGGAATGGAATTACGGAAGTTGCAATAGCTACGTCATGTCATTTGGGATGTGTGTGCAAAATTTTAGGTCATTCGGACGTGTTTTGGTTAGGTTTTTGATCGAAAGCTTGTTTGGAAGAAATTTGAAGTTCTTAGGCTTGAATCATTGATTAAATTGGGTTTCCGGTGTTGTTTTAGGTGTTTTAAGGATTGGTACAAGTTTGAATAAGGTATTAGGTAGTATTGGTGCTTTTGGTTGAGGTCCCGGGAGCCTCGGAATGATTTCGGGTGGTTGACGAAAATTTTTGAAGTTGAATGAATTGCTGAAGGTTCTGTCTACTGTCATAACCGCACCTGTGGTTTGGGTTCCGCAGGTGCGGAGCCGCAGAAGCGGCCAGTCAGCCGCAGATGCGGAATTTAGCAGGAGTAACAGGATCCGCAGATGCGAAATTATTACCGCAGAAGCGGTACCGCACCTGCGGGTGGGAAACCGCAGATGCGAAAACTGGGAGCATAAGTGGAAGCCGCAGAAGCGTCTCGTGGTCCGCAGAAGCGGGACCGCAAAAGCGGTCCCTTGTCCGCAGAAGCGGAAACACCTGTTCAGAAAAAGGGAATTTCGAGGGTTGAGTTTCAAAAGTTGGAAAAATCAATTGAGAGCTC